GCCCTCGAGTCTTGGCGCCCTCCGATGACCGCATCTGACGCGTGGAGAAAGTCGCATCGCCCTCGAGTCTTGGCGTCCTCAACATCGCTTGTTGGTACCCTTTCTTGGACCCTGGCTCGCGGGTCGTCTTCCCCCAGTCTACTTAGGATATCGCAATGCAGTCGGTCGTGCGGGTTTTCTTCTACATCACCGCCTGCTTCGTCAATCACCCACGAGTCGACATGCGCGCCATCTTGAGTCCACGATGTCCGCAGCGCACAACCACGAAAGTTCCCTTCCACTAACACATGCTGACGTCACCATCTAGCGCATGACGTCTGGAATTCGAAATGGCTTGCGGCTTTCTCAGTCAAGATCGTCAGAAGCCTCCGACGACCGCATCTGACGCGTGGACGAAGTTTCATCGACGTTGCTCCCTGGCATCCTCAAGATGGCGATATGTGATCACCACAGCGATAACACATCATCTGATGACGCCAACACCGGAGACGTCATCGGAAAAACGCGTGTCGATCGACTTTCAGATCCCATCCATCCATCTCCGGTGTTGACGTCTATCGGATGATGTGTTATCGCAACGCTGATCACATCATCCCATGTCCTCGATAGCTGGAAGCCTCACAACAAACGCGCACCTCCAACAGGAATCGCCCGTGTCGCACGCACAGCCAACAGTAGCAAAGCCACCCATCCACAATGTTCAGCGACGACCTGCTGCGCACAACGGATACCCATGGCGAATCCGAAACATCCCAGATTACCGCCGATCCCGCGACATCCCACCGTTAAGGGCCAACTTCGAGCTCGTTTCCGATCGACTCGGTGATTGAACATGTCAATCGCGGTTGTGAACGTTCCCTGTCTCATCGCCCGTTATCGCACACGCAGCTAGCAATGAGGAACTGCTATGCAACCGGGCGCGAGACGCCGGGCACGCATCGGCAACATTTTGGATATGGAACTAGCGCTTACAAGTTCCATCGCGCCCACAGGAAAACGTCACAGCACCGCCGCCCGTGCGGCGGCCCTTCCCCTCGCCACGATTCGTTTTGGGCGAACTCTGACGTGGACAATCCTCGCGACGATTATAGTCTCGAAATCTGAGCTGAATGAACGCACCAATGACCTCGTGGAATGATCAGCTCTCGATCCACGCCGATCACATTTCGATTCCAATTAATCGCAGCCTCGTTTTCCATAGCAGATTAGGGAGGCATGTGCGGGATTGCAGCGGGAGTGAGAGATTGTTGTTCGT